TTTGAATAAGTCATCTTTGCTCATTATTACAGTGGGAAGAATTGGGAAGGATCTTGGCAAGATCACTTAAAAGAGATTTTGATGAAGGGCTGGCTAGAAGACGAGATCCTTGGGTTGTTGTTACTGTATATCTCAAGGATGAAAAGTTAACAAGCTCAGTGTGCCTGCTAACTTAGCCAAATTGGCTATAGTACTTACTAGTTTTCGGGAATAAAAATTGAAACAGAAGTTAAAGGTGAACTGAGTATAATTTAATTTATAAATGACAATCTAATCTAGTATATTTAGTTCTAATGATAACCTAATATCTTAGAATGATAATCACTTGTCACTCCAGTAACTTTATAAAACTTTTTCTTTTTATCTTCACTTGATACTGACTTCCACATTGGCTACATAGTGGAGAGAATCATATTGGTTGATGACTGAGTGCATTTTGAAAATTTAAAATCATTCACCACCTGTTTATTTTAAGCAACCTGAAAGATTAATGCATTCTGAGCTGCCATGGTCTGATGTGAATTTTTATAAATACAGTAGGAGTAGGTCAGATCAGACTATTTTGAATAAAAAATGCAGTAGAGTTAACCTTTCTATTATACATGTGTCATCAAATTTTTCCCAAAAGGATCTTTCCTGAGTGCAGATCTATGGATATAAATTTATAAGCTGTGCCATTAATTGGAAATATTTTATATATACATCCATGAGAGATATTCAATAAGTATATTGCACACTTCAGAGCTTTTTTTATACAAAAATAGTCCAAAATTCTAGTTAATTAAATTATCTCTTGCAAACATGGAATGGCAAGCAATAGTAGCCAAAAAGGGCCAATATGACATGCGAATCTAAAACGTGTCAGTGTGCCTTGACTTGAAAATTTCCAGAAACTAACTGACTAGAAACATCAAACACATTACTTTTACCATAAACATTGTGAAAATCAGAAAGTCAGATGTTTTCAACCAGAAAGTGTTTGGAAGGTCAAGGTCAAATACAATACTGTCTGTTTTCATTGAGAATATTTAGTTCTGATGGTTCAGGTAAAACTAGGTTAACAACCAGACTTGCTACTTCCTGCTTTTTTGAGCCAAAGTGGCCATCAGTTATATGATATAAAAAGATAATAGATGATAAAGCTTAATATGCATAAAAGATATTTGAAACAATGCCAGGATGCTTGGATAGTGTTCGATAAACTTTCGTGTTTCAGAATATAATGCATGTGTAATATTTGTAGGACAGATACAAAAAAATAGCTAAATGGCTACAAGACTATGTTGAGTTGGCATTTCACAAGATAAACACATATGTAGCAATCAATGACATCATAGACATACTACATCTATCATATTGTTTTGAATATATTATCATAGTGAACTAAAAAAATAATGTCTTAAAGGGACAGATTTGCCATCCATTTGACCATTCATTTGACCATTCGTACTTAGTCTCAAAATGGGAATAGACTAATCAATATATAATAGTGTTCACAGCTCACTGTCAAAGTATGTATGAGCCTTCAAATCCATGTGTGTTATCTGTCTTTTCATGAGATTGCTATATATAGAAAAGACATAAATAGAAATAGAAAGTGAAATTCCTAGTCTGAGGTAATTTCTAAGAAATTATGTGATATTTGTAGTTTGTCTTAGTACTTCCGAAGACTATTTACATATGTTCAAGACCCAAATCCAGTGGTTAATCTTTCCCTTTAAAACAAGAACTCATTTTTTATAGAAATTGTAGGCTGAATAGATGAACAGGCAGTCATTTAAGAACTGATCTGGAATATTTTTATACACTCACAATATAATGTGGTCATATATTGTCGTCACCCATGTCCGTCTGTCCGTAAGTCCGTTTGTCCACAATTGGCTTGTGAACACAATAGAGACTACAGTTTTTATCTGATGCAAATGAAATTTGATTTGATCATTTATATTGATGAGATCTTGGACAAGTTCGATATTTTTGGTTTTTGAGTTATTGCCCTTGATTTATGAAATACGTGTGAAAATTTGTTTGTGAACACAATAGGGAGTACAGTTTTCATCCGATTTAAATGAAATTTGGTATGATCATTTAGTCAAGATTGAATTTGACAATTTTTCGATCAACAGAATTTGAGTTATTGCCCATGACTTAGTAAAAACTCATCAAAATTTGTTTGCGATAGAGGTGACAGTTTATGTCAGAATTTTATTAAATAATGTGTCTTTGTTCAAATCAACAATATCTTGCATAAATTAAATTTTTGGTGTGATTTGCCACAGATAGGTGACTGCCCTTGATATACTGAAAATATATGAGGAAAGTGGGCGTATCTTGCTAGGCAACCACTTGTTCTATGATGCTGAAAGGGCAGTATGCAAAAATTTTCATAATCAAAAACGTCGTAAATTATAGATGAAAATATTTCTAAAGTATGCTATTTATATCTATGTATCAACTTGGTCAAACTGAATTTGTTTTAAAAGGGTTAATTAAAAACGTAGTGTATTAATTGTTAATTAAGCAGTTTGATATGGTGGCTCACATACGACATATTTCACTTTTAATTTTGAATTAAAAACATTAATTTTCACCTAGGTGAAAATTAGGTGATAATTCGTGTAATTTTTAATTAAAAACTTTAATTTTCACCTAGACGAATCTTGTAAAAAAAGTTTTTAATTCAAAATTCTTCAGTTATCAACTTGAAGTTTTTAATTAAAAATTACAGGAATTATCACCTAATTTTCACCTGGGTGAAAATAATTATCACCTAGGTGAAAATTAAAGTTTTTAATTAAAAATTACAAGAATTATCACCAAATAAGAATTTAAGTTTTTAATTAAAAATTACACGAATTATACTAGGTGAAAATTAAAGTTTTTAATTCTAAATAAAAAGGGGAAAATGTCGTATGTGAGCCACCGTAGTTTACCTAGTTTTGGTGTAATAGCTCCATATGATTAGTTGAAACCTTTAGAATACGTAGTGGACATATTTCTCTACAATTTGGCATTTATTTAACTTAAATCCATACTGAATTTTCCTAACAGCTTCCAAAAAGCATATCGAACTTACGTAAAGTTAATGTAAACTGGATTTTTTTTTCGTTAAAACCTTCAAATACATTAAGAAACACATTTATCTAGATGTTTGTGTATAGTATAGACAAAAATGTGGAATGCCCCTTTAAATTCTGTACAAAGGTGTAACTACATATCTCAAGTACCAGCACCCTTGTTGCAATGAGACTTAAGAAGATGTTCTGATAGAAAACTCTTACCAGCTATAAATCATGTCATTATAGACATTTTATCTGTATGATACATGTATTATAGATGATTTATATTCTACAATGTTGCCAAATTTTTCTTTCTATCAACATTACCTACTATCATCTTACTGGAAAAATTTCCATATTTCAACAATATGAACAGATTTCATGATCTTTTGATTCACCTTAGGTTTCAATCCTTTAAATCACACTATAAAGGGAAGAATTCCTTGAATATTTGATTAAATTTGAAGCTGCATTTCTTAAAGGTTGAATTGTTTTGGTGATAAATCTAATAACATGTTGATTTGTCCAGGTGATAAACATAACATGTTGATTTGTTCAGGTGATAGACCCTCTTATTTGTTGAGTTGTCCAGGTGATAAACCTACTTATATATTGATTTGTTAAGGTGATAGGTATTTAATATAGTTACGGTACTAAAGGTTTATATCTTGTATTTAATATAGAAACTAAAGGTTTATATCTTGTATTTAATATAGTAACTAAAGGTTTATATCTTGTATTTAATATAGAAGCTAAAGGATTATGTCCTGTATTTAATAAGAAACTAAAGGATTATATCTTGTATTTAATATAGTAACTAAAGGTTTATATCTTGTATTTGATATAGAAACTAAAGGTTTATATCTTGTATTTGATATAGAAACTAAAGGTTTATATCTTGTATTTGATATAGAAAGTAAAAGTTTATATCTTGTATTTAATATAGTTACTAAAGGTTTATATCTTGTATTTAATATAGTTACTAAAGGTTTATATCTTGTATTTAATAAGAAACTAAAGGTTTATATCTTGTATTTGATATAGAAACTAAAGGTTTATATCTTGTATTTGATATAGAAACTAAAGGTTTATATCTTGTATTTAATATAGAAACTATAGGATTATATCCTGTATTTGATATAGAAAGTAAAAGTTTATATCTTCTATCTAATATAGTAACTAAAGGTTTATATCTTGTATTTAGTATAGTAACTAAAGGTTTATATCTTGTATTTAATATAGTAACTAAAGGTTTATATCTTGTATTTAGTATAGTAACTAAAGGTTTATATCTTGTATTTAATATCGTAACTAAAGGTTTATATCTTGTATTTGATATAGTAACTAAAGGTTTATATCTTGTATTTAGTATAGTAACTAAAGGTTTATATCTTGTATTTGATATAGTAAATAAAGGTTTATATCTTGTATTTGATATAGAAACTAAAGGTTTATATCTTGTATTTAATATAGTAACTAAAGGTTTATATCTTGTATTTAATATAGTAACTAAAGGTTTATATCTTGTATTTGATATAGTAACTAAAGGTTTATATCTTGTATATGATATAGTAACTAAAGGTTTATATCTTGTATTTAATATAGTAACTAAAGGTTTATATCTTGTATTTAATATAGTAACTAAAGGTTTATATCTTGTATTTAATATAGTAACTAAAGGTTTATATCTTGTATTTGATATAGTAACTAAAGGTTTATATCTTGTATTTAGTATAGTAACTAAAGGTTTATATCTTGTATTTAGTATAGTAACTAAAGGTTTATATCTTGTGTTTAATATAGTAACTAAAGGTTTATATTTTGTATTTAATATATTTAATATAGTAACTAAAGGTTTATATCTTGTATTTGATATAGTAACTAAAGGTTTATATCTTGTATTTAATATAGTAACTAAAGGTTTATATCTTGTATTTACAGCTGATATATTTGATGAAATCTCACCTAATATAGAAAGTAAAGGTTTAGATTGTGAATGTGTTGGTGGTGGTAGAATACAGGTTGATGCTTCCAAGAAAACTTTACAGATCTATGGTTATTCACAGGTAAGAATCCCAATTATTTTTATAAACAAGTGTTAATCAAAAAGATTTCATAAAACTTTAAAAATGAAATGAAACATTCTTTCATTCCAACTTTTCTGATTCTAATTGAGATGAATGGCAATGCAATGCAGTGTGCAATGAGGGAAACAGTTACAATATTTTCATGCTCCAAAGCTCATTGTTCAACCGGTGCCTCCTCTAATTCTGTGATGTTTTCTAGAGGGTGAGGGTGCCCAATTGTTGCTATATTTTTACTCTTTTGTTTTGATGTGTATGGATTTTGTTCTTGTAATATATACAGATTTGAACGAAATAGAAATATATTTATATATTTTCAGGGTTTTGGTAGAGCAGACCATGCCATTACGGCTAAACTTCTAGAACGTAAATATAAGGAATATGATATTACTTTCACAAATGATGGTTATTGAATGAAGTCAATTTTGTTTTATACTGTTGAAACTGTTAATATATGATGTAATGTATTGTGTTTTTTTATATAAAAAGATTGTATCATTTGATCAGACAAAAAAATGATCGAACAATGCATATCATTTGATGATTCGTTTTAGTCATTCTAGGCCAAAATTAGGCACAACCATGTCATGTAGGTAATGACTATTAAGGCCATGGAATTAATGTCTAAAGCAGGTCCTGCCTCCAAATTTTGAAAAAAGCTTTTGATCTGTGGTATTTTCTGCAGGTATTTGCAGGATTTGTCAGGAGCAAATTGAAGACAAACTTGGCCTGGTCACATTAAAAGATTGTAAAGAAGTTCTCTAGGTCTTATATGTGTATAGGGGACAATGATAGCATCAATTTGCACCATTCCAATTTTGTATTAGACGTCTGTGGTTTCTTAAATTCTAAATTTAAACTAGATGTTTGATCATGTCACTAGTCGCAAAATATGCTTTATCAATCAAGGCCCTTCACAATTAGTGACGCTATTAGTTTAATTTGAATTGCAGGAACCACAGATATGGGTTTGAAAATTGGTGCAAATTGTTGCTATCAATGACACTGATACACCTAAAACAATTTAGAAAACCTCTTTACAACCCCAGTAAAGGTAGAATTAGCCTCAACTGCATTGCAAGAAATGACAAGAAATGGCTTGTACAGAATCAAGATTTTTGCAACAATTTTCAGTTATTACCAAAAAAAGATATGAAATTTGATTGTAATAGAGCATTTTGGCCTTAATTGACAACTCTTTATTTCAATTCTATGGACCAACAGTAAAATGTATCCAAAGACATGCTGGCTATGTAACTGTCTAAAGCATTTTCAACAACAATGTCTAACAATGAAAAGCTTTGATCATGCATGAATGTTCAGGGTGTAGGTTTTGGAAGCTAGCTATTTTTTGCCTCATCCCTCTCTAGTGGATACACACAATTTGTATAATAATTATTTAAGAAATATATCACTTTAAATGTCATACTATTGTATTGTTGTGATGAATTATATTTTGAGTTATTTTCATTTTTTATTTTATTTGTTGTAAATTATTATTTGAATGTAATTTTTACATATATTTCATTTTTGCATGTTATTTATTATTATCTTTCAAAATTTTTCTGTAAAGGAATACTCTTAGAATGGACATAAAATTTAAAGTTTCAAACTTGGTCAATACTTTAGAGTGTCAATACTTAAGAGTATCTATTTATCAGTTGCTCGAAAGATGCTTTTAAGCATGTTTCTAAATTAAATTGGTTATTACTTAAATTTAATTAAAGAAGGATTCTGTTGTATAGTTATGACACCAGGTAATTCCACTGATAAACAAAGACTCATTTTGGCTAAGTTTAAAAATATTTTTGGTCATCCTAAGAGGTAGTATACCTTTTTATATTTATTTCACTGCCATATTTGATATACAATGTTATTTTGAACTATTTCTGGTGTTTGATGGTTCTGATTGTTTACTTAATATAATCTGTAACACAACACACAAAAATAATGATTAAATAAGAAATTTAGATTTATAATTTGTCTAATGTAAAAAAGGTTATATCAGCAAGTATTTAATTTATTTCCAGCAATAACAAAATATTTTCACTGTTAAAATAGTGCTCAATACATCAATTGTAGAGCTGTTTAGAAATATTAAAACAGATCCAATTTCTTTTTAAATATTTCTAATTTATTTCTTTCTTATATGAAGTATGGACACCACTATTTGCCGAAATTCATCTTGTTAGTCCTTGTTCAACATTTGTTATATGAAATCAACATTAGTTGCACATTAGATCTTTAAGCTATCACAGATACTACTGTATGGTTGTAGATTTTGGTTCAATCATTTAAATCTGGATTCATGATTTGAAAGTTTTTCAGTTGATCATGTTTCTTTACATTATTTACATACATATTTTGCTAAAATTTGCATTTTTGAGTTTGGGTTCATTTTTGTATTAAAACTAATGAATACTACATAATACATGTATATGTCTTTTTTGGATGTAGTTTATCTGTTTTCAGACAAGAGTCTATTGATTTAGATGATAATGGCTACAAACTGAAGTAGTTACATACACAATAAACTTTCATAATTTGCCTCCTTTGACTTTTTATACGCCCACATGAATATGTGGTCGTATATTGTCGTCGCCCCTGTCAACATTTCTTGTGAGCACTATAGAGACTACAGTTTTCATCTGATTTTGATAAAACTTGGTGTTTCTGCTTTAGATTGATAAGATCTCGGTCAAGTTTGAATTTGACATATTTTTGATGAACATTTTTTGAGTTATTGCCCTTGACTTTGTAAACACGCATCAATAGTTGTTTTTTGCCCTTGATTAGAGCTGTGTGATTTAATTGTTTGTTGTATTTGGGTATTTGATAGTGATTTTAAGAAATTTTGTATAATTACTCAGCATAAATAACTGGCATATATATATGTAATTGAATTCAAACTAATAAAATTTCTTCAATATGAGAAAATTCGTACTTTAGTCACTAAAGACTTTCATTATCATTTCTAACAGCTGCCAGTGGGCTTATGTTACCTTGCCCCGCAAGCTATCTTCTGTTCAGTCACCAACATATAAAAAACCCAGGTTAAGCAAAGAGCACATTCACCAAGATAATAATATAGAGCACACACATCTGGTTGAGCAAAGAGCGCATTCACCGAGATACAGAACCCAAACATCTGGTTGAGAAAATGGTACATTCACCAAGGTATAGAGCCCAGACGTCTGATTGAGCAAAGAGCGCTTTTACCAATATTAAAGGGGCGCATTAAGCAAGACTGTAACTAACATAGAATGTTCAGTAGGAAGCGAGTCAATAACTAGCATAGAGCCTTGACATCCGTTTAGTGAGAAAGCGACGTAACTAAGATAAAAACTGTCACAGGGCCCAGACATCCTGATTAGTTAGAAAGCAACTTTACTAAGATAAAAACTAGCATATAGACACCCTGTTTAGTGAGAAAACGTAATAAAAGGGAAACAACCGTCAAATCAGATTAAATTTTATAAACTTCTATTGTGATTTGCAGTTACTTATTGATTTTATACAATTCGTTCAATACAACACAAGAAAAAGAGTACAAGCTCTGTGGTTTTTCATCCTAAGGGTAATTACGGCCCAACGGGGTAATTTTTACTTTCGTAGGGAATAATGGGGCGCTTTGTTGTTTAGCATGGTAGACTTAACCCTCAATAGCCTTTAAATTTCTGACTTTTTTCTTTTGAATTTCCTACGATGACTATTCATATTAATACTTCTTATTTTCTTACAGATACATGAACATATTTTGTTTTACAATACAGGTTTTATCTTGAGATGATTAGTGATATATTAGAAGAATGTTGACGTTATATTTTGAACTATTTCAGCTGAAGAAATGATACTACCACATATAGTATTACAGAGACATCCTTACTTAACATATCTCATTATCTTTACCTTTAACTTGCACCTTGTTTTATCATAAATCTTTTCTTTGTGACCTAGGCCAGTGCTTTCATGAGACTATGTTCTCATCACCATCTAACACAAAATTTTTTAAGTCTATTCTATATTCTCCGACATGAAAAAGATTGCAAGGAAAATCTAAGAGGAAATAGTAAGGATTTAAAGGAGGAAGTGGGTAATGCAATCGATCACTATATAGCCATTTCAATGAATTTAATACATCATACATTATGATCTTCACCTAATAAATCTATTAAACAAAGTAATCTTATTCGTCGGTGCTTTGTATTTTATGTTTTACGTGAAGCGCTTATAGTAATTGTTGTTATAATATAATGCGCTCTATAAATATTGTATTTATTATTATGTATTTATTATATAATCTCTAAATTTTTTCAGCTAAGCCAATTTGTAATACTGTTCACAGTTTACCGTCAAAATATGCACCTTCAAATCCATGTGTGTTAGTTAAAGAAGTTGATTTAAAAACACGAGTCGTCTTTGCTTGATAAAGTGCCATATATACAAAAGACATGTAAGAGAAATTCCAAGTTTTTTCGTACAGTTCTTGTACTTCTGAAGACTATTAACATATGATTCAAGACTCAAATCTGTCCCTTCAATAAGCGATTATCCAGGCCAAGGGCCAAAAAAAAGGGGGGGGGGGAGTCTCCCTATAAAAAATGCTGCTCGGTGTTTAAAATACACTTATACTGAAGCGGGGGTTGGGGGTAGTTTGGTTGTGAGAGTGAGTGATCAACAGAAAGGAGGCTCGCCAGGTCAACCGTGCTCCAGGAGCGCCAGTCAGCTGCTTCAATTATACGGTGAGCAGGTAACGAAGTTTCAGAGCTGCATAATCCATTATTGGATTGCAACGTTTTGTCGTAAAACATTTGTAAAAGGCAGGCTATAAATTATAAACATTTTATGTTTATGACTGAACAGGTCGTATTTAAAAAAAATACTGAGTTTAAAGACAAATAATCTTGAACCTGAATAATCGCTCAAATTTGTTGATATTTGGGGCATGTCGGTATTTGTTTCACTGCCATGGCTTCATTTTTTAAGCATGAATATAGGACACGTAAGGCCTGTGGGAAGATAGAAATTATCATTTCGGTGAGCTTTTTGTCAAAACACTGTATTTTCCCTAATCCGTTTCATACAAGTGACAAGCTATAACTCTAACTCTGACTCACCTGACTTATTGTTATAGGCTACAATGAATTCTACTTTATTATGATAATCAAGAAAGATTTATTATTGAAGAGATACATTCGTCTAATTACTTGTTACTAGCTGACTAGCTTTTCAGACCGAATATCTGACGTCGAGTTCGAACTCAATTAATAAAAATAAAGCAGCTGCGACGCGATTAGATTGGTCAATTTTTTTTATTCAGAAGAATGATAAAAAAGATGTAAATTAAACTTTAGTTACGACAAGCATTTCAGTCTAAAACGCTTAACGGTAGTCAAGTAAATAATATGAGAAAGTGTCCCTTTAATAGTAGCTTATATATATTATTTCAGAATAAATTGATACACCCTAATGCGGTTTAACAATAACATAATATTAATATAATTATATTCATGAAATACAAGCCATTTTCACGGTGGCAGTTGAGTGCATACTAATTGTCACATTAGGAGAGATCGGCCATGTCGCATGGTTTGCATTTCACATGATGGTTTGTCCAACCAATTGTCCTCCTCAAGTCATGCATGTGTTTGATGTTTAGCATATCACGGCTAAGTTGATTTCTCCTATAGGTATTGATGTGAGACTTCCTTCGAATGAAAGAAAACTGGCTGGATACGGCTTTTGTAATTTTTCGTGGGTGTGATCGCAGAAGATTTTTTTTTGATGAAAGTGATATTTTTCCGAATATATATTATGTATGGTGAATATTCTTTGGATTTGGGAGACACACCGCTTTGTTTTTAAATCAGATGTATCGTCAGAATGTAACAAACTGCTTACTAGTGATACAGTAAGAGTAGCAAACCCCAACAAACGTAGATTTAGATGTGGGATTGAATACACCTAGCTCGGTGAAAGCCCCTTACAACAAAGTGTCATCGAGGTTTCATCCTATAGGTGAAGTTTACTCCATAAATCGTTAGCAAACGATAACACACAGTGATGGGAGCTGATATTCAGCCGTATGCCTGGCTAATATTGTTTGCCGCGTTCATGGGACTGTTTCTAAATAGTTCATTAAATTATTCATCTGGTGTGATACATGTAGCTTTACTGCAAAAATATCCAGAGGAAGATGTAACAAATATAGCTTGGCTAGGATCACTGTTTTCTTGCATGTTCGCCTTTACTGGTAATGTAAATTTAATATTTAGAGCAAATATATACATTTTCTCCATTCAATAACAAAATGCAAGGCAGATGTGACGTACGCAGCTTGATGCCTGGACCAGTGTTTTTTGTCACCGTGTGCCCGCATGGCCACATTTTTGGCTGCCAGAAAGGTTCATAGTGCAGAATGTTGTATAAACGTGGTTTCTGCTTTAGAAAACTATAGAAATCTGTTCTGCATACACAACTTCGTCACCCTGGCTTAAAAAATACACCTTATTCCAAAAGAAACATCAAACAAAAGACCTATCTATGATATCTTTCATATTCTGACATGATGTTCCAGGACCGTAACCAGCCCTATGTACCAAGGGGGCGGCCGCATTTGTATGTGGGTGGGGGCAAAATAGCTCGTCATTTGAAATATTAGTCGAAAGTTCAAAGCGGTTACTTTCTTCATATTGAAACGGGTCTCTTGCCATACTAAATCGCAAAGATGCCGGCAACCGTTAAATGTTTTCTGACTATTTGTTCTTCCTGTTGTAGGAGTCGATAGTCTAGCTACAGGAACTAGTATTTCACAAAGGCCCCATATGACAATTTTTGTTTGTTTCTACAGGTATATTGGCTAGTGTCATTATCAATACATTCAATGTCCGGGTATGTGTTATGGCCAGTGGAATATTTACTGTAGTTGGTTTCACAATGAGTTATTTTGTACAAGATTTTAAACTTCTCTTTTTAACATATGGCTTAATAGGAGGTAAGTGTACTATCACAGGTGGAAGTGGACGTAACTGACACGAGGTCATTCTGTGACTTCTTTTCATAGCCTTAGACAGTCTTGGTTCCTCAAGTCGATTATCAAAATAAAAATAAACTAGTGTCCAAAAGAAACGATACCACCTGTTTGCAACGACATAAAAGAAAAAATAAACAATGCAGAAGTTTAGGATTGGTGTTATGCTTTTGAGAAATCCTTTCACAACATCTGTACACAAATTTCATTTCAATAAAATCTGTACAACCAATATGACAAGCCTTTAAAGATGGGTGGGGTCGAAAACAGAACATTTCGTTAGAGCACTGATCACAGAAACAACGGGAAATGTCACACCACACGTCACAAAGTCAAGTCAGTAGCGGGTATGTCCACCGTGAGCATCAATACATGCCAGAACACGCCTACGGACTGATGCCGTCAAACGTATGATGACGTTGAGAGTGATGCGTTGCCATTCCTCGAGGAGACATCGTTCCAAGTCCTGGACATTGACTGGAGGCACACGGCGACGTCGGATTTGCCGATCGAGGTGGTCCCATAAGTGCTCGATGGGATTCATGTCCGGTGAACATGCGGGCCATGGCAAAACCTGTACGTTGACGTTGGCAAGGAAGTTCTGTGTCAATCTTGCTGTGTGTGGCCTTGCATTGTCATGTTGTTGGAAAAGGAGTCCACGAGGCTGTTGCTGAATAAAGGGCACCACAACAGGCCGTAGGGTGTCATCAATATAACGCTGTGCATTCAGGTTTCCACGAATTACAAGCCTCGTTTTGACGTCACCACATATGCCACCCCAAACCATTAACCCTCCACCTCCAAACGGCCGGACCTGTTGGATACAGTTAGGCGCCAAACGTTCACCAAATCGTCGGTATACAAGCTGTCGTCCATCGTTTTTGAAGATGAGGAATCTGCTCTCATCAGAGAACATAACACGTGCCCAGTCCAGCCGTTGCCAACGTCAAACTCGCCTGGACCAGATCAGCCTGTTGTTCCGGTGTCAAGGCCTCAGGAGCGGTCCGCGGTAGGGATGACGTGGCCGGATACCAAACTGCCGTAGTCTCCTGTAGACGGTCTGTCGACTGATCCTGTGTCCCAGTGCTGTAGCCGCCGTGGACGTCGCTGTTACGGTGCGGTTCCTCAGGTGTAATACCCGAATGTAACGATCTTCACGGGGCGTGGTTACTCGTGGTCTTCCACTCCTGGGCCTGTCTGACGTCTGACCTGTCTGACGTAACCGCTGCATCAACCTGATGATAGTGATGCGTGCGCAGCCCAACCTTCTGGCGACGTCGACGTGTGTCGCTCCTTGTTGGACCATTCCAACGGCTCTCTCTCTCTCGATGGCTGTGAAACGTGGCATATCTTGTGTTCTTTTTGTTGCTGTGATATCAACGTGTCTGATCAGCCGTTTTATACAGTTTTTATGCACGTGCAGAACATGCTAGAGAGGGAAATGTCACTTTCATGAAATTTACGTTTTTTCCCGAAAGTGATCACGTGTTCCCGGTATTTTTATCGACTATGCTGTGTTTGGGATATGCAATACGAATTTACATGTTTTCATATTAGACAATTCACTTAGTAAAAAACAATTTTGAAAATAAGTTGGTATCGTTTCTTTTGGACACTAGTTTAGACACTGGGCTACATAGCTCGACAGATCTGACTCAATAGGAACGTGTTATAGGGATGCCGATATCCCATACTGATATGAATTGTTAACCTAAGGCTTCAATATTTCTCGATATCCATATTACCGTTTCATACCATTCAGTTATTAGCCACTAAGTATGTGTCCATATTGGCGGGTTACTGTGGTGACAGATGCCTCTGGTGAGGTTGGTTCAGTGCAGATGAGACTTTCAACAATGTTATCAATTTATGAACTAGGTCGCACAACACAACCTATTATTCACTTATAGATGGGTTTCCTTGTTTTCTAGTGTCAAATTAAGCTAACTATTCGATAAATTGGTGTTTCTAATGAATTGTCATGTATTCTTAATCATATCATTATGTTCTTATTGCATATAATTAAGAATTTTAACCAATCATAAATGTACATTTAATTACAGTCTGGATATACAAAAAAGGACTTTTTGACCTTTCTTGATCGGTCACTCATTAGAATTCTGCTAGTAATTCTCTTCTAATTTAGCTAATTTATTAATTAATTATGGACATGTGAGACAAACTGGTATTTTTCCAAGTCATTAGAACACCTCGAATTTCTATTCATATAAATATTAGCATTTTCATTTTTCAAAAATGAAAATAATGGAACCCATCTTTAAGATAATATTTTTCACTTCAGGATTATTCATAAACTAACAAAGCTAGGACCATGAAAATACTTTTTCCGTATATATTTGCAGAACATGTACAAATATGCTGGTGTTAGCTTTGATGCTTTATGAGAAATCCTGCAATAAAATGTTATTGTTTTTTCTGAGCCACCCGATACATAGTTGCAACAACCATTTTATCTTACAGGATGTGGCCAAGGTTTATGTCATACCGGGTGTTTGGTATCGCTGGGATATTACTTCAAAGAAAAAATAGGCATGGTTTCCGGCATAGCATTAAGTGGTTGTGGACTCTGTATGTTCGTTTTTCCACCATTAACCCAATTTCTTTTTGATACTTATGGCATAAATGGTGCATTTCTTATATTGGGTGGAATCGGATTTCAGGCAACAATGCTTGGTTCTTTGATGACTCCAACAAAATATGAAAAACACACGAGTCGACGTTTATGTCGCAAATCTCACGACGGTAATAAAGATTATCTCATAAAAAAGAAATCAGTTCATCAGACAGCTGGAAGTGGCCTGGCATTGTTTCGGTCATTTTCTGTATGGGGCTTGATGATCAGCACTTTTTGTTTTTCAATGGCTTTATCGACAGTGTATCTCTTACTACCAGAGTACTTTATACATCATGGATCGTCCAAACAAGAAGCTGCCTTGGTGTTATCTGTATGCGGGGTAACTGGTATAATATCCAGAGTAATGGTGGGTTTTCTTTCATCATCTTTCGACGTATCTGTGGTTTATTCCACCTTGTTTGGAATAACGGCGACGGTTACGTTATGTCTGAAAGTAATGACCTCTTTAGCTAGTAAAATGACTTATACTGCAATGTTTGGAATGTACGTTGGTGGTTGTTGGGTACTACATTATAATCTAGTGGTTGAATGTGTTGGACTTGATCAACTTTCTACTTGTTATGGTCTAGTAATGATGATAGGAGGAATTGGCTATCTTGTTGGACCACCCATCGCAGGTAAGGTTTAATATTTACAGTTTGTTGAAATTATTGAACAAAACAAAATAATAAACTAAGCATAATTTATATAAATATTTCAACTGTGATATTCTTTCTGTCAGATATGTGTCTTTTTTATAAATGTAACAATCGATAATAAAGTTGAATTGAGACCATAAAAAGCATATTTTTTTTTGATATTTCAACCGTGTATAGGCTTTCTGTCAGATATGTGTGCTTTATATAAATATAACAATCTCTATGACATAAGTTCTATATGATCTATATTGCTTTATATTATGTATTAACAGAGATCATTAAAAACATAATTTCTATAAATATGTCAACTGTGAATAGGCTTTATTAAATATGTGTGTTTTATATAACTATAAATTATAACAGGAACTATATTGCTTTATATTATCTATTAACAGAGACCATAAAAAACATAATTTCTATAAATATTTCAACTTTGTGTCAGATAATATGTGCTTTATTTAACTATAAAAATCAATGACATAAGTTAAACTAAATTATAATGCTTTATATTATCTATTTAATAGAGACCATAGAAAACATAATTTATGTTGTTGATCCCTAGCGATATCAATTGTGTGGCAGGATTATGTGGCAGACTGGTATTCCGTAATATGAAACAGATTATCGACATATCTGTTCAAATACAGTTCATGAAGGAAAAATGACTTGACGACTAATGATGACTTTATGACTTTATTTTATTGACTAGGCCTAGTTGCTGGCGAACATAGTTTCTTTGTGAACAGTATACAGACTTCTATATTCGGAAATGACATATATGACAAATAATAAGACACTGACAGACTAATATGACACTAAAATAGCACAGTAGCTTGTATGACTTACAGTCTCAAAATAGCAGACGATACTAAAGCGAGACAGTCTAAACTACTAATATGACATAAAATATGAGCATAATGACTAAAAATATAGTAAATTGACACAATATAGACCTTAATAAATGAGCAATAATATGACATGGACATGGACATAAATATGAGACTTAAAATATTGGACAGGACTATTGCACTTGACCGGGACCGGGAGGCCAATTTCTAATTCATTCTTACTGAAAATGATATTATGTATAAACCGATACATTATAGATGCGTACACATGCTTAATTCATCAATATAATACCTGGAAATGGTGTTCTTCCTGCCCTAAAGTGATGTTAGGTCACTACGACTTAAATATGAACGATGGATGATGACTATGAATGAAAATGACAATATGTTAAGATGGCTGATCGACTAATAAATGACGTAATGCACGTGCTATTTCTGATTGGCTAAGCAATGATTTCCGCTTCAGAACACGATTAAATTCTCCATGCTAAGCAATAGTCCGACATAATCTGATCATACAAGAAATATTTACAACTGCAGATATATTCAGAACAATTTATATAAATATTCCAACTGTGAATAGGCTTTATCAGATATGTGTGTTTTATATAACTATAAATTATAACAGGAACTATATTGTATTATATTATGTATTAATAGAGATCATAAAAACATAATTTCTATAAATATTTTAACTGTGTATAGGCTTTATCAAATATGTGTGTTTTATATAACTATAAATTATAACAGGAACTATATTGTATTATATTATGTATTAATAGAGATCATAAAAAAACATAATTTCTATAAATATTTTAACTGTGTATAGGCTTTATCAAATATGTGTGTTTTATATAACTATAAATTATAACAGGAACTATATTGTATTATATTATGTATTAATAGAGATCATAAAAAAACATAATTTCTATAAATATTTTAACTGTGAATAGGCTTTATCAAATATGTGTGTTTTATATAACTATAAAAATCAATGACATAAGTTAAATTAAATTACATGTATATTTATATTTGTATTTCATGCTATATTTTATTTTATATAAAACAGAGACCATTGTTAAAATGTGCAACGATACATACTTTGCCTTTGTGTTTGCATGTAAGTTTTTGTCGTTTATTTTCAATCTCAGACCAGTACTGCTATAGCCTCTTATTTCCCATATCGTTTCAAAACTGTAGTATAAACTGTAGGTTTACAGACCACGTCTCAAAAGTTTTCACCCTTGCATTCAGTTTTAACTCTTCTTGTAAACTTTTATATAGATGTTTCACAAATATTTCTAGAAAATCGATAAATAGCCCCCTATATAAGAAAATCTATTATTTTCAGCTATATGTTTCTATGTTGCTGGAATAGCAGGTATTTTAACTAAATTGATGAAGAAAACTGACGAAAATCTTGAAATTGTTGAACAGATTCTTGATCAAACGAGGGATTTTAAAATAACAGGCGACGAAGAGGACAAACTTAGAGATGAATCTATTGCAATTCGTATAGAAAACGTCAGTAAACTTGAAGAATCGTTTAGATATATGGATGAGGCTGATTCTCTAGTAAACAGTTGATGTAATTTTATTTAGCACAGTTTTATACCTCACTGGGCAGTCATTTATAATAAAATACTATAGCTTCATTACTTGATAACTAAACCTGTGGTGTTGAAATGCGATTGAGGTGTACGTTCCCCTTTTCTGCTCAGGTATGGGCCAACGAGGTCAATGTCATATAGTGTGCAATGAACGAAATTATTTTAGACTGGAGGCAGAATCCTACACATTTTTGGAATTTTCAACTATAGAGAGGGCGTTTAGATACTGTGTAGCACACGAAGCCTCGGTTTATTGTCCCATCCGAACAAACAGACAAGTTGTAAGAGAATCAGGTGCAGGGGATTTAAACCTATTTAGATACCTCGAATCTGCAAACCCTAGATATATTTCTGACTCGACTCCAGGATCTGCAAACCTTAGATATATTTCTGACTCTACTCCAGCCGAAAACTGTCAAAATATCCATCAGAGACTGAGAAAGAGGCGGATGTTTCGGATTTACCTTCTGTCCGCGATGTTCCCCCCATTTTTGCCCATTTCTGCAACGCCAAATTCTTCTCTAGTCACACAGAAAGAAATGTGAGGGCCTCTCATAGGTCCGCGCTCTCGACAAAGTTTACAATGGTAAGCGCTAAAAGTAAATGAATTTCGCTGTATATCCAGTAAAGGTCATTTACAAAAAAAAATAGCGTGATTATAATCCATATTCTGGATGAAATCGTCATTCAAATATTATATAATAAAGAGAACTATGTATGTACCTACATTTTGAATCAAGAGTCAAACATAAAAAATCGTCTCCATATTTTAGAGTGATTAAATGAGGTTTCCTGTACTGTTTAGTTCTGAATCACAGTTAGGTCTACCGTTGACTGTGGTAGTTTTCGCGATAGAGAAATAATAATCTGGGACTGCTACTTTTTGCGCTTGGTCAAAATTCTGTCGTACAGGGCTTCTTTAATCTAATCGGTATGTCAAGAGATAATCACCATGTCACAAATGTTTATTTCTCAAGCCTGTAGATATTTCAAACACTATATTCTGATCGATTGATTAAGGTAGGTTTACATAACATTAATCTTGTAATGTATATACCCTGGTATTTTCTCTAAATATTTTATCCTTCAAAAAATTAAGGGGTGGAAGTGGTTTTTATTACCGAACATAGGTTGTGAGATACTACATGATATGATATGATACAATCTACACATTCGCATTTATATTATGCAAATAGATCAGAATACTTTAATATAATACCATATAAATTAAAAATTTGACGTTACATTATAATCAAATAATAACTGTATAGATGCATATTTATGAAGTATGTTTAAGTTGCGATAAGCGCTCACATTCATTAATAGAAACAGAGGCTTACAAATGAAAATGGAGTTGAACCATTTGGCTTTAACTCCTCTGATTGTTAATTCTGAAATGGTTTTGGCACATTAAGATATCACTTGCTGTAGATTCCCTAACTTTATTTATGAATGGAATTGAATTGAAATCTCAATAGAGCTCAACATGTCTACTGTTTTTTATATGCAGGATGTCGACTTTACTGGCAGTTTTCTCCTTGATAGGCCTTGGGTAAGCTTTTATGTATTCATACACCACAACACCCTGACAAATACGAGTTACTCGTAGAAAATCGAGTAGCTCTCAGATTCTGTCAGTCACAAGGTCGATCTGAGTTCCCATTTTCTTAGACATAATCTGACAGCTGTTCACATTGACCTGCCATCATCGCGCTTTAAACCATTTTATTAATAAATTAAATGAAAATAATATATTGGAGAAACGATGTTAAATGATTTACACAATCTGAAATTCTATGTCATTCTACCTTCAAAAACATTCACCACAGACTAAATTTTGGAACTCTCGTTTTGCCTTGACATAATTCCGTGAATTTTGATGGTATTTTTTTATTTTTTTATTTATTTTTGATTTAGTTTATCGGTTCCAACAGGTCATATCTATGATAATGCTATGGCTAGGAAACTGTTTCTGAGGGGCGATAGAGATCATGATTTGATTCTAAGTAGAAGTGATTTTGAACAGATATTCAGAACATTTGACCTGGACGGTAATTTCTATTATTTTTATTCTTTGAGTAAAATTTCAATTTACTGGGAATAACATAGCTCTTTAAAAATAAAGCAATTGTCATCATACTTCTTGCCAAATCGATGATTGTCTATATTATGTATAGTATTAACATGTTTGACGTGGCCCATACTGTATCTGACAAGCAGATTGTAATTCCTCACGTATATAAGCTGGAACGATCCGTTAAATCCGGATTTACATTCGTCACTGGTAGCTCCAGTAGCAAGCGATGCAAATGAGGAGAGACTTTTGAACCACAAATGTGTTTTGAATAAAGTAATGTGTTTTATAATATTTTTCATCAGGCAACCATAAGATCAGTGGTGTAGAGTTTACGGGTCACTGGACTACTGAGAAACTAGGAAATATTAAAGATGCTACACACCTATTTTATAATCTAGATGTAAATAAAGATGGCTATATCACACAGTCACCAGATCTCCCTTTTGTTTATAACTGGTTTGATTCTGACAGTAAGTTTCATACGGCATACATTAAAAAAAAATTAGATAAATTGAATTTTGGATTAAACATGTCACACGTTTGAACCTAGACTTAATACGCAAATATTTAATTATTATGAATATGAATGAACAATGGTTAAGGTAATACGAACTTCGTCTTATACCTTGACTACAATGGGCACTTTTCTTGTTTCACAGAGGTTTGTAAATGCAGTGATTTGACGTTAGTACTACTCTAGTACGTTAGTCAATACAGCCAATCAGAGCCATCGACAGAACGTCTGTAAATGATAATCCATAATGTCTTAATGTAGCCTAGGTATAAGACAAAGTTTGTATTGCCTTAACCATTGTGAAGATGGGTGACCTTACAGCTCTCTGGCTCTGGCGTTTATGGTTATTACGTTAAGAGTCTTTGATTGGGTAGATATATAATGTATCGCCTGCATTACCATAAGATTATGTACTAAAAGCTTGTACTCTTGTACAACCATATTACTCTATTGATTCTAAGTGACTCCCGGCGAAGAAATTAAGTAATTGTGATTGTTTTCTACCAGGAAAATGAACATAAGTATGATTTTAGACCGTCATTATGAAAATAATGTTTTGTGCATTTCAGGCAGTGGTCAAATAAGTGAAGGTGAATTCATCATTATGTGGCAGAAGTTAACCGCTTGGAAATAAGGGTTCAAGCGATAGTGGTAGAAGAAATGCTGACCAATAAACTCTATTAATCAGATTTATTGTAATGTGCTATATAATGTTATTGTATAGGGATGAGTCTAATTCTGATTGTGCCAGCAAATATAGCCAATCAGAGTCCTCGACAGAAAGATTGTAAACACAATGGCATGTAATTGCTTTCTTTTGAGGCCTCTTATTAGATGTATAATAGCTCGCTTTTGAGAAGAAGTCAAATCCGTTGTAGTCATAGCTCATCTTCACAATGTCAAGCTATTACGAAGTGTGTCAAAAGTTTGACTGCAATAGCCATCGTTCTTGTATCACATCTTCACAATATCTTGGTCGTAAACCTTGACTGCAATAGCCTCTATTCATGGATCGTGGAAGTTTGTTAATGCAACTATTTAATTATATTATACACTAGGGAATACAGCCAATCATAGTCCCGATTAAACGCCCAATGCATTCGATAGATTACAATATAATCAAATTTTGCTGTTACAAACACCCCTCGCTTCCCCTCACTCCACTATACAAGAAAGGTGGCTATTGCGGTTATGGTTTAAGACGAAGTTTGTGATAGCTTGACACTATGAAGATGGGTAGAGCTAGACGAAGGGTTTCTGAAGCGTAGAAAGTCGACTACTGTAAAAACTTTGGGAATATAGTATATTACTTCAATATTGATTCGTGTATCCTATTCGTGTAGCTATTTTGGTCATATTTCATACAAAAATGATGACTTTCAATGTCAAACTAACTTTATGAGGTAAGGTGACCTAGACCGTACATATAGGTTTGATCGACATACTTGAGTAAATCGGAATTATATTCACCCTGTTGATATTGAGTCATATCAAGTTTTGTAGAAAATCCTCTTTAAGAGAATAATTAAAAAATTGCCCACGTGAATAGCGTAAATCAAAGTATTAGATAGACACAGTGGTGTAGCCGAATTTCATTGACGGGGAGGCTATCTGAGCACCTCGGCTTCCTTTTTGGTTCATACTAGTCGCGGTTCGAGGTCTCCTTTGAAAATGTTCTTATATAGGAAGGTGGAAATGTATCTTACGCGATTTTGACAGAGAAAGTAGAATGAATTTTTTATTTTTTCTGTTCTGAGGGGAAGCCAATGGACAGACACAACTAGACGTGATTGTTGAGGGTGGGGCATGTTCCTTAAGCAACGTTACATGATAATCGTATCGTTGCTTAAAGAACATGAGGGTGGAGTGGCAGGTAATATAATCAGAGGGGCTATCGGGAGTGGAAAGTGGTCGTGGATGGCGGAAGTAGGGACGGGGATGGGGTTAAAAAAGATTTACTGGATCATCAAAATATTAGTATCACTACCTCCAATAAAAGAATCAATTAAGTTATTGACCTCAATATCATTGAATCAATGAAACATGTATTTATTCTTATTAAAAGTATTACCTCCCTTAGAACAAATAAAACATAAACGGATAATTACACTTTGAATATAAATTAACAAAATATATGCACCATATTATAACATAAAAATACAACAAACTTCAAATAAGATAAGAGTAAAATATTGTATGGGACAAAGGTAAAACCAAAATTAATTTTTTAGGATAAGATATATTATCCAGTAAACAAAAATAACAACCAGAATATGTTATTAACAATATAAACACAAATTAAACACATCCACTTCTTTACTGTGTATATGCAACTATGATTACCCCAATAACGTTTTGGAAGTGATGTGGACTAAACATAAGATTCTGGAAGAGACAACAGAATAACACTAATCTTCATCACTTGGTTAGCTCTTGTAGTTTATTAAATCACATCTAAAATCCATATAAATAAAAGCTCAATAGATAGTTATCTAAATAATAACATAGATGTATCCTGAATAATTTTCATTTAAATCTGGGAGGAGGTGGTCGTTCTGGTTTAAGTTTTCTATCACAGTCTTTTATGAAGGGTGGTGGACGAACAGGTACCACTTTCTTGGTGATCACAGTAGATACTGGGACTGGTGTACTTGATACACTATGTTTTTGTGGTATCTCTATGGGTGAGAATTGTTTAATGGAAGATTGGCCCTGAGAACCGTTATCATTTATTATCACAGATTTAGAATTATTCCGTTCTTTGGATATAGCTTGGACTTTAGACAATGGTATTGGAACAGTTCTTTGTGGTATCTGTAGCTGAGAGAATGGTTTTGGATGAACATTGCTGTCTGGCTCCCTGACATGGTCATTTGGAATGGCATCAGATTTTAATCTTGGGGGTGGTCTTAAAGGTGGTGGAGTGACTGCCATTCTATGTGTTTGGACATCAAGGTGATTTTTTCTGACCACCACTGGTGTTGATGGATTAGATCTGGACTTCTGTTCTCTCTGTAAAAACAGAATTCTATAAAATATGACAAACTATGTGATATCTTTCGTTTGATTGAATATTTGCATAATAAGTCAAAGACATTGAATGATATTTTCAATTAACTTTGGTTAAAGAACAGAAGTGACTTACCCTTAACACAAAATCATTATCCTCTACTGATGATACAACCTTTGTATAAAATAAAAGATTTCAAATTTAAACAGCAGATACATCAGTATGATGATATACTAGAGGCTAGTAGATACATATAGAAAGCATCATGTCAATCACTTGATACAAGAAAGATTTGCCTAAGTAGAACTGCAACTGGAGTTCAAAGGCAAATGGGAAAAAACGTTTTGAATTATAATTTTTTTAATAAATAACTAGCAATATTTTAATGATTGTACTATCTAAGAAAAGAATAAAAACCTACCTCTGATTTGCCTAGAAAATCTTTTTTCAATAAATTAGACACATAACCTTTTGGTGGACAGAATATATTATAAAGTGGTCTGAGATTAACTACTGTATTCTGTAAGTAGGAATAAATTATTATTACTTATAAACACTATAACAGATTTCTAATTTTTAAGTTTCTAAATTTTTGTATGGCATTCATATTGTCAGTTGCAAGTTTTGATTAGTTATGAATATTTTGATATAGATCATATTCCCAGTGCAAAAAAGGCAACATATATTGAACTGCTTTGCTTTGTTGTTTTTTGAAGGAAAGACACAAGGCAGTGTGAAAACAGAAAACTATATGCATGGTAAGTAGCCTAAAGACAGTGGTTTGAGTTGTTTTGTAAAGTAACTTACAAATAATTTTGTGTTTACAGAAGAAAACAGCTCTGTATTAAATGGATTATTATAAAATTTGGTACTGTATAATTCAAAACCATTTACATCTCCTTTAAACTTCTTGATGACAGCCAAATTATATAGAACCTATTGGTAATGGATGGCAGAAAGCTAAAATCATTATAAGTTATGTGAGCTGATGATGTTTAAGATACATGCTCTGGTAAATATGTCGGTTTTACGCTTTACAGCTGATAGAACTTAATTTCAGTTGCCAAACTCAGACATTGGGTTAGTATGCAATCAAATCACTCTTAAGTCAAATCCAATAAAACATCTGAAGGACAATAGGTACTGGCATCTAAATTTGAGCTTCTTTAGCTGGTAAAGATATGGCCATTTATATTTCTATCCAATTGTAGCATCAAGATAAGCTCAAGTCAATAACAACTACTTAGTAAGTAATGCTACACTGGACATAGAGTTACCTGAGCTAGATGTAGTTGTGTATATAATCCAAGTTGTTTATAGTCTATCACCATACTACCACGTAAATTAATCAGAGAATCTTCTAAATCTTTCTCAGCTTCATTATATCTACATAATATATTAAATACAACATGTCAAAATTAGATTGTTTGAACAGTTTTCATCTTATTAGTCATGTGATCAGTTTAAATTTGACTCATCTATTTACCTAAGAACTATTACATTCAATTTTTGAACTGCTGCAGTGGGTGTATTTTAGTATGATGTTCCCATGTATGGAATGTTTTCTATTGAAGTACAATGATATTAAGTTTAAACATACCTGTGAAGGTCAAAGAATAAAAGTCCTCTTTGAAAATAGGCTACAGACATAAAACTATCTAACTGAAGAGCTTGACTAAGATACTGAAATAAAACCATTGATTAAAGATATTACTATAATTCATCATCTAACTAGAAACCACAGTTATTGTTGTCAGAATGCTATATAGGCTAACTTCAATAACAGTTATGTAAGCAAAACAAAATGGACACATGTAATTATTATGACTGAAAATAACAAACATTGAACACCAAAACACCAAACAAATTTTTTTTTTTCCACAAAGGCATTTGAATTTTCAAGTTCATGGAATATTGTTGACTGTTTAAAGTATTCTAGGCTATTCATATTATGTTTGAAAAGTTTTATTGTCTGGGCTAATTTCAATACAGACATAGTAAAAAGGAGGAGCTCTACAATTTTATAAAATAATTTACTGTACCTCAATAGCCTTGTCACTGTTACCTAATCTAGAATTAACTATGCCCTGATTGTAACGAATTTTAGCAGACACATTCACTTTGTTCAATTGCTCCAAACATTCTATTAAATCACCATCTTCATACAATTTTACAGCTTCTGCCCAGAGAATGATGTTTTGTTTTAGTGACATATCGTTTTGAGGACATTTTTGTCATTCATTAGTACAATGAATCAACAATAAACTGTCATTTTCATTACAACGAACTTTTTGTCTGCCATTGGAAAACACCCCCGGAAGTAGGGAATTCCATTTTTATGACGTCATTTTCTATAAATAGATTCAATCGAAACAGCTTCACTGACAAAAATAATTCATAAATAAAAAAGATAGATCTATTTCAAACTAACTGTTATGTTTATAATTTCAGAATCTCATTTCAAGAACTATCTACTGCAATAACTTCATTTCTATTGCTACAAGTTAGTGATTTCTATTAAAGTGGAAATTTGTCTTGATGATTGTCTCCCTTAAAGTCCTCGAATTCTGGACTCACTCCACTAAAACATTTTTATGTTGTCCAGGCTATTTTTAGAAATCTTCTTTCTCTCTCCCTTTTGGGGTTTTTGCCTGCCTATTTTTGGGTAAAATTTGGTCTAGATTTGGAATTTGATGTCTGAAATTGCATTATCTTTCAGATTTGGTGAGATGATGAGAGACTTAAAGGCGGAAGGCTAATTCTAAAAATAGTCGTTTTGTGAAGTGCCAAACTCTAGCGGATGAGTATAACCGGTAGTTTCATGGTCATCATATAATGAATTTTTTAGGAGACATTGAGAATTGGTCAGGCTTTCATGCGACATGTTGGAAAGCTTTCAACGAGATTTCTGGAAAAAGTTATAGAAGGTTGAATTTCGTGTTTTAACATGGGAAGAGATGGCAAATGAATTAGTGGAGTGAGTCCTTCTATAATTTAACAGTATTATCTCCCTTGTATTGATATAACATAAATTATCATTATTTGGAAACACTTTTATTGTTCTAGGAAAGGTTTCAAATGTATTACTGAATTTTAATTTAATTTTGATTTGTCTTGTTAGCATGTTGTTTGAAGGTCCATTCAAGTTCACGTTAGATACTTTCATCTTGATTTTTTTCTAACGATTGACATTCCAGGTCATTGCGCTTATAGCTGGGGTTTTAAACCGGGGGTGGGTCCAAGGGGCTAATTTTGAAAATTTGGAGTTGAGGCGCTGTGTAGTCTAACGTTATTCGTTCTATTCAGTCAGACCATATTCCCCGACATAAATGTTGAGTGAAAAAAATAAGCCTTTTTGTTTAACATTCAATGCGAAAATAGCGTAGGACTAGGCCCACGTATTTCAGATCAATTGCGGTACATTTCTGCCACTTATGTAGGCTAATTTGGCAAGTTTTGTACGTATTTAACATGAAACAATGGTGCTGAATAAAATACAGGTTTGATCTGTAGACATTGTTAATGAGACCACGAAACGTTTTGGCACGTTATCATACCACAGCATGCGTCTGTTAAATTCTGTCTACAGGAATAATTGTTGGGTCTAGGAATAGTCGTTAAAAAACGTGGTAACGACCACACACATATAGCCTAACTAACGTAAGAATTTTCATATTTTCACACGGCCTTGATTCAGTCGAATTAGCTAACTAAACTTATTACAATCAAACCAAAGGACATTCAAAGTCTGCAATGTTCTTTGGTTTAAAAATTTCGTCTCGTGATTTAGAAAGAAAAGTAAATCCAAGGGAACATAGGATATTTTTATTTATATATTTATTTACCCGCCAGTAACAAAGAACAATATTTCGAGACTCTGAATAACATGCATATTGTGAACGGCAGTACAACCTATTCATCCATTCATTATTTTGTTTATTGCAATAAAGTTGTTTAGAATAGATTGAAAAATAAGTTTCTGACTAGTGTGCATTATTCCACAATAAATTGTGACGTAACATGCCATTTCCTTCTCTGAAACTAGGAAAAGTTTCTTTTCAACTGTTGACCACGACAATAATTGAATCTTAGACTTATTTCATGAAATACTAGCTTTATCACCAGCCTGAAAGAAGCATTTGGAATAAATGAGAAAATTTGGCGAACTAAACAGTTATTGAGGTTTTGTCTGGTTTAGTGCAATTCAGTATATCAATGATGTTCTATGTCGGGATCACTGTGCCTTGCTGGTAAAAAAAATTAATGGTATTAAGTCTGTTTTATCTGTTCTGAATGAGAGTTTTATTTCTTCTTTTATTAAGAAATCACGTCTAGTTTCAGCGAGTCCGAAAAACATCCTATTTGTCCGAGAACATGACAAGACATTGTGTCATCTTACAGATTACATCGGACACAATTAAATAATATAAGGCTCACACTAGGCTATGAGCTCATGACAGGAGCAACAATGATAACGGTAGTAAAAATTCACCGACAATTGAATAACTACAGATTCCTGCTGCTTAGATATGATTTTTGACGAGTGTAGAATACAATCAACTGACGGCAACTGTGTTTTGGGGTCTTTAGGTCTACTATATCAAGCGATTGGTGACCATCCGATGCTGACAGTAGTTGAAAAATACACTTAATCCTGGATCTCATCCTGAATTACTGCAAACCGTGTTGAAATGATCTAAAAAAATATCAACTCGACCTCCAAACGCCCAAATTAGAGAGCAAATGTTTCAGTTATTCATCAGCAGCTCCAGATTATGTCACAAGACAAGGAAATAGTTTATCTTACAAAGGACAGATAAGTTTATAATTAAAGAAGAGTTAAAACGAAAGAAAGGTAATCACGAAAGGAATTTGGTGATACAGGCCAAAATAATATTCAAACCATCAAGTGGAAATTAAGGGAAGGGAACAAGAAAAATTCAATTCCAAGAATAGTTTTAAAAGTCGGAAACACATGGACCACCTCAGGTTAACTTTTGTTAACTTTCAGGGAAAACCAACTGTCGTTACATGTGCAGTCAATATTTAAAAACATGGTTGTAGGTTCGTTATATGTTGTTCAGTTTTGGATACCTATTGGTGGGTGGCAAGATAAATAAGAATGAGCATATTTCCTCTGGTATTTTATCACATATTGGACTTATTGCTTACAGACAGTATTATAGTGTGTTTCATAGTACAGTCGGAAACCACGAGTTCAAATAACACCTTTTTTTCATAGTTATGACAACTGCAACTTACTCAAAAAAGAAACATAATGGATAATTTCGATATCGAATTAAATTTAATAAGAATTATATATCAAAGTTATGCCCATTTGTTTTTAGTATCATTCCAAAATAGCAAGATATTGTACTGATAGCGTTTGCTTATATATATTGGTAAAGATTTCAAACAAGGACATTTTTCGAAATTATTGACCCAATCTTTATATATAATACGTATCGATGAACTGACTATAGCAATATAGAAACATTGATGCTCGAGGCCGAAATTTGCACAATGCTATTTTACATTCTTTAAATTTTATATTTTATATCGGTTGAAGTTTTTTTATACGCCCACATGTTTGTAATCATCCAAGGGTGAACCCTATTGAAAATCAGAAAAATCAAAAAATATTTAGTATGAGTTATTGCCCTTGTTCTTGAAACGATGGTAAACACTCTAGAAGGTGCAATTTATGACGGATTTTGATGAAACTTGTTGTGAGTGTTTGTTATCACTCAAGGATGAACCCTATTTAAAATCAGAAAGATCGAAAAATAATTAGTATGAGTTATTGCTCTAGAAAACGCGTTCAATTTTAGCTTGTAAACACTCTAGAAGGAACAATTCTTTATGGATTTTGACGAAACTTAATGTGAGTGTTTGTAACCACCCAAGGATAAACCGTATTGAAAATCAGAAAAATTGAAAAATACTTAGTGTTAGTTATTGCCCTTGTTCTTGAAAACTTGTTCAATTTGTAGCTCGTAAAAACTCTAGAAGGCATGATTCTTGCCGGATTTTGACAAAAACTTGGGTTTTATTATTCAGTACCGCGCTGAAGATTGAATATTTGCCTTGTAGAGTTTACACGAGCTAAAGATTAAACACGTTTTCAAGAACAAGGGCAATAACTCATACTCGATATTATTCAGTATCACCCTAAAGAGTTCAAAGAAGTGTATGACCGAAAGTTGAATATTTCAAACTGGTGATTGTTTCTGTAATGCTAAATATTTTTATTCAAAATCAAAGCTGCCAGTGGGCGTATATTATCTTTCCTGGCAAGCTATCTTAAATGCTATACAAAAAGCGCATCACCAAACTTGTCATCTACCTTTAATTTATGAGTGAAATTAATCGACAATGTACCTTTAAACTATAAACATTGGTGACTATTACAAATTGAATATAATGGGACTTCAAAGACCTACCACATGCAAAATATATGAATAGGTATTTGCACAAAGAGAACATTTATTCTTAGCTTAACTTTGATAACAGTAAAATATGGAGGATACACCTTTTTAAATTATTAAAAGTTAAATTTAAAAGTTAAAAACATATTGAGTTGAGGAGCTTTCGCCCTCCAATTAAACGCATTTTAACACCTTGGACAAACGAAAATGTTCAATAAGGGACCTGTTTAACTTTTAATTGGTGATGTATACGCCTGAATAGTTGATGGCACTGCCAAGATGCATACGACACTTTAAAACGAAGGGCACTAGGTGCAAATAATAAAATCTCCAACAAAGCTATGTATGCGACAACATTTTCGCTCAATGTTAATTGTTAATGTAAATCTCAGTATACAATTAACTAGCCCCTGCATGCTTTGTGTTATTATTACCATCGCCTAAAAGCTCGATAGATAGTTTTCTTGGGCTTGTCTGAAGAATGTTGTCCCCCATTACTACCAGAACGTCACGTCCTCCGCTGTACCAATTACCATACACTTATATAGATAGATAACAGATAACATGTAAACCAAACGATGAGTCATGCCACTGTTCCACAGGGACAATGATGATGTCTAGTTACGAACTCAAAACGATAAAGACGATCGGCATTAGGAAATTCAAGTCTCCTCTTATAATATTATTTAAACACTATATATCTATTTTCTAAGATTTACTCTGTTTCCATTGGGAGGATTAGAAAATTGAATGCCGACAATTTCATTACAACGATGAGTCATCCTATTTTCCGGTAATACTATGGAAGAAAATTGGAAAAGCGGAACGTACGCAGAATGGTAATGGGTGACAGTCGGAAGACCGAAAATTGGAACCGTACCA